GTCCAATTCGCAATATTTTTACTTGGAACACAGACACTACGGGCAAGTACTAGAGGGGATTGGAATTAGATGCCTAAAGGTGAATGTTGACAGTCCGACGGAAAAGGTTCTCCCCAATTTGGTTATTAAGAAGAAAGGTTTTCTTGGCAATCCTTCGCACATACCTTAATGTTTTCAATGTCAAAGAGAAGGGAACCGTATACAGACGTACATATGTATAAAATGTACAACATTTGATATAAATTTATTTCACTTTGATCGACTTTTATTCAATTTATTTGAAAATAAATAAAAAAAAAATTTAAAATAAAATTAAAACTAAAACAAAATGAAAAAAGGAAAATTGTAATCGAATTTTATGTCCTTTTTATATTAATTGGCATTTTTCAATATATTGAATGGAAAAAACAGGATGAAGCAGAAAATATTCCCGTTGTTGTTTTTTTTTTTTGATTCTTGTTTATTATGAAACAATCTGTTATCTTTGCAACACAAAACTATATACAAAACAATAACAAAAAAGAAAACAAAAACCCAGAAAAACAATTAATCCGTAGGGGCTTTAAAAGATTTAAAATATTCATTTTCGGTGTGTGTACGCCGCCGTTTTAATAATTTCCATATTTTCATATTATTTTATAAGTTTATGTTTGGGCGTTAATATCCTTTTTAAGGACTACATATGATTATACATGTAATGTGTTTATACAGTTATAATATTGTACATAAAATATTAATTATGTGAGATTAAAATGTCTTCAAGGATCATTTAATACTTAAAAAATAAAGGCTTTAGTCAGAAAGACCAATTTAAAATAACTACTTTATCGCCCTCTAGTCAACAAATAAAATCATAAATGTTTTCTTATATCATAAAAATTATGGTTTTTTGAATGCAATGCAATCATTTCATATAAATTTTATTAAACTTCCCAAATTAGTAATTTCCAATTGAATTGCCAGAAGTTCGCCCAAAAAAACCAATAATAATATGGTATGGAAACCGATAAATTTTCTATATAACAATTGAGAATTAAAATTGTTGTTGTGTTTGTTTTTTTTTTTATTTGTTGGCTCTACTTGGATTTTGTTCTTCTCATAGTTTTATTGTCATACTTGTATAATAATAATTTTGGCTCTCTTTTCTGTTATTTTAAGATTTTTCTTTCAACATGAGAGAGACAATTTTTGTTCTTTTCTTTCTGTAAATAAAAAAGATGACAAATATATTTTTTTTTCTACATAATTTTGTAATAAAATTTTATGCATTCCTACACTTTTAAGTTAAAATAATCATAAAAATTATTATGTTCAGTAAAAAAATATATTTATATACATATTTGTGTTTATAACAGTAAATTTTATTTTCATATCTCATCGAATTATAGATTTTATAAAAGATGTGCATATTATGTGTGTGCACCTTGGGTACAGTGATTTAACAAAGTATTGTTGCAATATTAAAAAAATTTAATACATACAAAATTCGTTGTTCGAACAGTTGTAACATACTCTTCTGTTATATGGTGGGAAAAGGCCGGAAATGTGAAAGTCTTAAGGGGCTGCCGCATTTTGCCTAAAAAGAGAGCCTTCAAAGGAAAAATTGCGAATAACATCAGTAATACAGAGATCCAAAGCCTAGTGACATTAGAGGTCACCTTCGTATTGTTATAGAAATCAACGGCATTCAGAACATTGAGTTACATTTGGGCTTTGGCCCGAAGATGAAAAATGTGTACGCAAGTCCACAAACGTTACAAGGGCCTTCGAACACTACCCATCAATATTTCCAGTTGAAACATATGCTATATTAAATTGAGTGTTGTGGATTGTTTCAGAAGAAATCTCAGAAACGAATCTCAGGAGGAATTAAATCAAACAGTAGGGTTATTATTGGATCCGTAACATCTGATTTAGTGAGATCTAAGCTGCTAAAGGAATACGTTGATGCTCTTAGCGTTTTGGCTAGATATATAATAAGGTAACTTTGACGTTAGTGCAAGGACATTACGACATAGATGGAAATGAGAAAAATATTGCGCTCTTGGTCATCCAGATTAGAGGCTATTCCTTCGACATCTTCTTTTTCTTCTGCTGGAAAAGGGCGCAATGATGGAGCACTTTTTTAGGTGAATGTGAGGTGGTGGCTCTCCTACGACTGAGGTACTTCAAAAAAAACTTTGCGACTATCATAACGTAAAATTTTTAAAAATAATGAACAATAATTTTTGCATTTTACTGTTTTTATAACTGTTTTACAAATATTATTTTCAAGTTCATAAAATCCTTTGAAGTGAATAAACACGCATACATATACGAGTATATTGTAATAAAAATATTTTTCGAAACGCATAAAATGTACGCCCTCTTATAGTTATTATTTGTGTATGAGGTATATACTAGACTAAACTAAAGAAATTATGTAAGTACATACATAGGAATAAAATGTATAGAAAACTAAATTGTTAAGTCTGGTTAAAGGATGTGAATTCATTAATGTTTCACAATATTAGCTTTGCATTTCATTTTTTTTTCTCAATTTTTTGAATGAAGTTATAGAAATGGCGCCAGACGGATTTATTATCAATTTTTTCCCTCCTCCATACACACAATATTCACTTAATATACATAATATTTATAGTAAAAGTAAGAAGAGAATAAAAAGAAAAGTTTACTTAATAATATGAGGAAGGAGGCTGTTAAACTATAAGTATACAGAAAATATTTACAATAATTTTACTTTTAGAAAAAAAAAAACAAATAAGTTTGTATGTATGATGTGTGTTTAAAGTGAATTTTTGTAGATTGAAATCAATGTTCTCGCTTTTATTTGCTATTTCCCACATCCAGAATCACTATATGTAATAATAATGTGTCCTTTGTGGATATAGATTATTGTATTATGTACATACATACATGTGCATATTACATTATATTTTGACATATTCGAATATCCTGCTGGAGTTGATTTTCTTGTTTTTTTTTTTTTTTTACGGGATAAATGTGAATGTGGTGTACAAAATATGTGTACAAGAAATATTAAGAGAATTATTTTATAATAATAGTTCCTGTGTTAGTTTTGTTTAACATCATGATGTCATATTATATTTTGTAGCTTTAGAATTTTCTGAATTATTGGAATGCTTTTTTTTCTTAAGTGCATTTTATACACGACAATTCTACGTGCTGACAATTTTGTTGTTCAAAATACTTGTGTTTTTGTGAGAATTATCCAATGATCCTGAAATTTTTAAGGTTATATTTTGAAAAAATCTATTAACAAATACTTTAAAATTTTTATTTATATGACAGTTCTTGTTCTTGTGCTCATAGGGTAATTTGAAAATAAATGCATTGATTAAAAAAGAATAAATGTTAATTGCATATTTATAGGCACTTTCATTAATAATTTAATTAAATTATGCGTTTTCATTAATTTAAAAGAAAATTAATGATAATTTCTTTTTCTTGAACAAGCAAAAATACTATTTTCAATAACAGTACTATATTTTTAAAATAACCCGTCATATATCAAAATATATAAATTTATTGCATACATTTAGGATGGACAAAAAAGAAAAATTTGAAGCGTTTTAGTAACGATTGAGTAGGACAGTGAGTTGATTAATGAAATAATCATATTTTTTGTTGGTATGACGTTTACAAAGCTGCTATCTAAAATTTAAAAGCAAACCGGTCTAATGTAGATCGCCTATAATTATGTTAAAAAGCGTGATTCTTTTTCCTTTTCTTGCATTTTTCTATTTCTATTACAATTTATTCCATTCTATGCTCAAATCCTAATAAATACACCGAAACACAATATAAAGGACATTATACAAATCCTATTTATTAGAGTTATTTTAGCTAATAAAGCTGTGTCATTTTCCAAAACAAAAAAAAAAAACTAAATGAAAATAAATAAAATCAGCAAGTTGTATATTGAAAAATTGCAAAAACAATAAAAAGTATAAAATTTGAGAAGAGCACGGCCATAGTATGCATAAGCATTTTACTATTTAATTTTGTTAAGTGCAAACACTTGTTGAAATCTTCCACTAAATAATAATATGTGTGTACATTTGTATATTATTATGTAAGTACACATCGTATATAATATACAAACATAAAAATGTAACATGAGAATACATTTTTTTCATAGTTGGATTTTTTACTTGTGTATAAAAGCAGCACTAGCTATCAAAACTATAAAAATGTTCTAGACTTTTGCATAATCATCAAAACAGAATAATATGGTGAGAGAGGCCATTCACTTAATTTATTAAATTCAATTTTATTTTATTAGCTTAATAGTGGAGAACAACATAAAAATGAAAAAAAAGCTTTAATCCTATATCCGTCCATGTATATAAAAATATTAAAAGATTACCAATTCAGTTCATCTGTTCTGACCACGAAATTAGCATGAATGTGTACACATGATTATAAATTATTTTAATTTCTAATAAATTTTTAATACATTAATTATTTTAAATTATATTCACATTATAATTGAGCTGCCGTTGAGGAAAAAATTCATAAAAATTATTTTTAAATACACACAGAAAAAAAAAGTAGTATAGCTGTTGTTTGTATATAATGGTATGGAATAAATTAGGCACATGACTGTGGCAACTCTACGATTAAAATTAAAAAAACTAATCTTTTAAAAAAAATGACTTATGTTCTCTACGAGTGGAACGTTAGAAAAGATAATTCGCACTCATTAGTCTCGTATATTATATTACAAATTCAAGGGTACACTCAGAAAAATATTTGAACGCAAAAATATTTCAATAGATGACAATTATATTGTTTTTTGTCAAGTTTTAAGTGATCATTTCTGCTTCGGCTTAAAATAGCATCACGAACTATCTTTAATACTGTTTTACTATATAACGATTTCTCTGTAGTTCAAAGACATAACTTCACTCAAAACCGAAAATTAAAAAAAAAAAATTTATTTTATTAAAAAATTCTTAAAATTACAATGTCATTAATTAATTAGCCAGAAAATTTTTATTCCTTTTTATTTTTCTTTGATGATTTTCCTTTTTTAACAATTTCTATTTTCTTTCGGATACAACATTTTCGCCATATCAATTTAATAAAGAATTTTACAAATCTATAAATTATATAAAACACAATTAAATAAAACAGCAATACATCAAATCCTAAACGTTCAAAATCATTCATTGCAAGATTAGGGCTCATCATATGTTTAGCTCCTTTATGCCTCATAACATATTCAATCCAAAATATTGCATTTTCTTTAGCAGTCATCGGTCGATCTCGATATAATTCTGAATAATGCTTTACATTTTTTGTATAAGTTTCATTTGTCAAAACATCATTTATAAGATTTTTAAAAGAACTTATAGTTAAATTTCGAATATTAACACTAACACCAAATCCTTTTTTAACCATATCATTAACATTACCAGGTTGATCACCAAATAATGGTATTCCAATTGTTGGTACACCATGATAGGCTGCTTCAACTAAACTTCCTTTACCACCATGTGTTATAAATAATTTTAAATTTGGATGAGCTAAAATATCATCTTGTGGTAACCAATTTTTAACTAAAATATTTGTTGAATTTCCTATATCAGTTTCCCATTTTAAAATAACATTTTGTTTTAAATTTGATAGCACAGAATGAATATCTTTTGTTGCATTCGGATTAATAAATTCAGCTTTAACATTTGAACCTAAACTGAAGAGTATTGCTCCATGTTCTGATGATTTGTCCAAAAAATCTTTAATATCCTGAAAAATATTTAAAATTTTTTAAATTAATCTGGTTTTTAATAAGATCTTACATCTGGTAGTGGATCTGGTTTTGATTTCACTTGAATTCCACCAATTTCTACATAAGCCGGAACATTCGCTCGAATTAAACCTTCACTAAAGTGATGATTAACAAGTAAAAGAGAAATATTTTGTAGCATTGTTTTATAACTCGGATATTTATCTGGTGGAAATAGGAAGCTACAAAAATATAAGAAGAAATTTTATGTGTTCTAGCACAAGCACATAAGAACAATTAACGCTACGCTTCTATTTTTCAATGTTTGACTTACTTGTAATATGATTCTTGTACATAATCATAAATTCGCAATATAATAACTTCAAGTGAACCATATAAGAAATTTAAAATACGATAAAAGAATCCATCACCAATATAAGCGCCGATTCCCATTTGACCAAAACGTGAATAATCCAATGTTAACAATGGATTTCCAATAACACGATCCAAAAAGAAAAATGGTCTTTGTACCCATATAACAGCAGCTGGACAATTAAAATGTGCCGAAAGACCCAAATGAAATTCATTAAAAATATATCCTAATAAAAGTAAATCATATTTTTCTTCATTCATCAATTTTTGAAATTCATCGGTTAACGTGACATTACTACTAACATCAATTAAAGATTTAACTATATTAATAAGATGTTGATATACTGAATAAGCTCCATTTGTTTGTATCATAAGTTTAATAATATCTTCGAAACCAGATTTCGGACGTAATACTAAATGTTGGAATCCAGTTAAATTTGGTTCAGTATATGGCATTGTTGTTACAACAGTTACATTATGACCTCTTTCAACAAGAGCACGTACAACAGCAAAATGAATAATTAAATGTGATTTACTTTGGGTTGTAAATAAACCCAAAATATTTGCTGTTTCTACATTTTCAATATTTATAAAGGCAATAATTAATAAAATTCCAATTGAAATAATTCGAATATTAACCATCACAAATTTGAATTGAGTTCCAGTAACACTAAAAGAATACTAATGATTTTAATCTAATCGTTTTGGGTTACGGGGTATGAAGTAATTAATAATTTCATTAAGTATTTTAATGCTACTAAAATGTTGATAATATTTTGAGTCTTAACAAAATTTTTATGCTGTAATTTTTATAATATCACAATTGGTATATAAGATAAGAGCATTAAAATGATAAACTGGAACTTTTATAAGCTTAAGATAATTTGAAAGCTACGATAAGATTTTGATTTTTTTTATATTTGAGAGAAAATTTTTGTAATACAAAATTAAAGAGAGCCTCTCATCAATTTGAAAAATTCTCATTCTCAAATTTATTTGAAAATTAAAAAACCACCTAAACGTTTCCGCTAGATTTAAGTTTTAAAATGTAAAATGCGCTCACTATTTTAGATCAAAATATTGAAAACTCTTCTTCGTTAATATTTTATTTACAATTTTATTACAATAATTTTACTGACTCTGAAAAACTCCCGGTTTCTTCTCCAATGCCACAAACGTAATAGAAGTTTAGTGACTTTCTTAACTAATTCGAGATCATCGGCTAGTAATCATGTTCGGACAAGGCTTGTAAATGTTAATTATGCAGTGTGAATTAATTTAATTATTCCTCTTATTCCTCTAGTAATAGGCTTCTTGATATTAATGCATATTTATGATGGTGGTTTAGGACTGTCGAGACATTCAGCTAATTTCATTGTTTATAAAATTTCTTCTCTAAGTTAAAGTTTGTGTACTTTCTAATTCAGTGTTATTCTCTTTTTTTACTAAATTTTATTTACGATTATTCTTTTTTCGATTTTCTCTTGTTAAAATCTTTCTCTGGTAAGCTACGTCGACAGCATTTCCTCCATAAAAATTTAATAATTAATTTTATAATACGATAGAATGCATAAAATAAAATCACTAAGAACAATATAACATCAATACCTAAACGTTTATAATTACTCATGAAAATAGCTGAGTTTTGCATATGTTTTGCCCCATTATATCTTAAAACATATTCAATCCAAAATATTGCACTTTCTTTAGCAGTCATTGGACGATCACGGTATATTTGTGAAAAATATTTCACTTCTTTTGAATATTTTTCATTTGTTAAAACATCATTTATAACATTTTCGAAGGAGTCAATTGTTAAATTTGTAATATCAATACCAACTCCAAAACCTTTTTTAACCATCTCCCTAATATTACCATGTTGATCAGCAAATAATGGTATTCCAACCATTGGTACACCATGATAAGCTGCTTCAATTAAACTTCCTTTACCACCATGTGTTATGAAAAGTTTAAGATTTGGATGAGCTAAAATATCATCTTGTGGTAACCAATTCTTGAATAAAATATTTGTAGAATTTCCTGGCAAAATCTCACTATCCCATTTCCAAATAATATTTTGTTTTAAATTCGTAAAGGTTGTATAAATATTTTTGATAACATCAGAATTAATGTATTCAATTTTAGCATTTGAACCTAAACTAAAAAGTATTGCACCATGTTTAGAAGATTTATCTAGAAATTTTTTAATGTCCTGAAAGATCAAATAATTTTTTTAAATAAATGCTGTCTAAATTCAGGCCTTATATGAATGTAACTCAGTCTAACATTAAGGGGTTTGCTCAATAAATTTGACTTACATCTGGTAAAGGATCTGGTTTTGATTTAACTTGTATACCACCAATTTCTACGAAAGCTGGAACATTTGCTCGAATTAGACCTTCACTAAAGTGATTATTTATGAGTACAAGTGAAACATTTTTCAATACTTCTGTATAACTAGGATATTTTCCCGGATCAAACAAAGTTCTACATGAAAGAAATAAAAAATTATATTGATTTCCAGATTAACATAAAAACTTTAACTTACTCGTAATAAGATTCTTGAATATAATCATAAGCTATTGCATTGATTATATCGAAAGTGGCTAATAAAGAGTTCAAAATATGATACAAAAATCCATTACCAAGGTTTATATCCAATGACATTTGATAAAATCTTGAATAATCTAAAGAAAGTATTGGATTTCCAACTAGACGATCTAAAGTATATAATGGTTTTTGAACCCATATAACAACTGCCGGACATTTAAAATGTGAAGTAAGACCCAAATGAAATTCATTAAAAATATATCCTAATAAAAGTAAATCAAATGATTCTTCATTCATCAATTTTTGGAATTCATCTGTTAATGTAACATGGGCACTTCCATTAATAAATGTTTTCATTGCTTTAATTGCTTTTATCAATTTATTATATGTGCCATTTGCTTGAATCATATCTTTAACAACATCTTCATAATTTGTTTCTGATGGTAATACTAAATGTTTATATCCACTTAAATTTGCTTCATGATATGGTATTGTTGTTACAACTGTTATATTATGACCTCTTTCAAGAAGTGCACGAACAACTGCAAATTGTATTACTAAATGTGATTTACTTTGACTTGGAAATAATCCCAATATATTAGCTGATTCTACATGATTATTATTAAAAGAAATATTTAATCCGATAAATAATAATAATAACAAATAATTATAACACTTATAAAACATTTAATTGAGAATGGAATGTTGCGGAAGAGCACCGAAAATAACATAAAATTCTAATCGCAACAGCAACAATACTAAATTTTTTTTTAAATTATTAAACTTTTGTCTATTACAAAACTTATTCATTACATAATTTTTTTTACTTGAATATTGCAAATAAATAGCTATATAATTAAAATATCTTAATTGCTTAGATAATTTCAAAATTAATAAGTAGGTTTCAATGGAAATAATTTCTGATTATTTATAAAAGTTTAGAATAATTTAAAGCGTGACTTTGTAAGAATTCAAATTTGTTATACTCTCATTTAATTAATAATATTGTTACGATTAATATAAGTGACAGAGAGCTTTTACACAACAAAGAATAATGAAAAATAAATTTTAGAGTGACGTTATGAATTTCAATAAAATGAGAGCTTTTCTTTTAATAAAAATAAATTTGAATGGACTTTCAATGAAGCTTTCTATATTATAAGAAATAAAATATATTAATTGAAAATTCTTTAATATAATTTAATTTTAACAATGTAAGAAACTGTGCTATATCAAAAATTTCAGAGTATAGATACTTTAGAAGCGGAATAATTTCACAACCTTACATTATACAAATAAATTTACCATAGAAAATATGCTGAACATTTCAACTATACGTGATGAATTTCTGAAAAATTCAAATTTGACGCGAAGTTCATAGGCACGCAGTTTCAAAAAGTGACAGCTCGAACAATTAATTAATTATTTCTACCTTAAGCGGAAATTGGGCGACTATCAAAGAAGAAAATTATAAATGCCGCCAATTCACAAATAATAAAAGTGATTAAGTGATATAAGTGATAAAAGTGATATTAGTAATTAATTATATAGGTGATAAAAGTGATATTACCAATTACAGAGCAGTTTACAAACAGTTGTAAACGAATAGGTAACTTCATATTTCAAGCAACCCGCTTAACTTGGAGATACAAACTTGAAAACTAAAAAAAAAAGGTTTGGCATGGTATTCTTTAATCTAGCAAAAGTCTGATAGGACAACTATGCACAAGAATTTCGACACATTAAGACTTCAAGATATAAGAGACAAGAGACAACTACTACATATTATACATAATATACTAAACGGCAATGTAAAACGCTACATGAACATATTCTTCAGCTATGACACACACCAACACCAGCACAAAGACACGTCAATAATATGAGGTTTATGTCAACAAGGGTTTGAGTAGATCGATTGAGTAAACTGTTTAAATCTGAACATTTTTTTTTATTTTTAATTTTGTTTCTACTATAGAATTTTGAGCACTAAACTTGTTTTAACCTCTCAAGTTGAAATCTTATAAAATGCTACAAATTTTTATACTCTAGATGAGTAATTAAATAGACTTCCAAAGACTTTCATTATGTAAACTTAAAATTCACCAAAATTTTTTATTAAACTTTATTAAATCAAATGTTATTCACTTTAATATTCAACATTCACTTCACATTAACATTCTATTTAACCATACATACACATAAAATACAAACTCAATTCATTAACAAAAAAAAATCAGTAATTAAAATTTTTTAACGGTAAATAAAACTGCATCAGAATAATTTACGCATCAACAACTTTATACATAGCGTTATCATTTCAGTTTCAGTTAACGATTTATTAATATTTTAACCATTTTAACATCAAAATTCTTTATTGTTACACTTAAATTTATGTGATTTAATGACAAAAGATTTTTTAATTTATTTCAAAAAAAAAAAAAAGGAACTATTAAACCCTATAAAAATACAAAATACAACAACAATAAAAACTATGTAAAGTGGTATATGCTAAATAAATCAAAATATTGTGAAAATATAAGAGAGAAAATCTCATATTATACAAATACATTTAAAGTTAAACTATACAATTTTTTTTGTTTTAAAGCGTCAATTGATGACAGTTGACATAATATCACAATACGAAAATCTAATAGGATGTAGACAGAGAGAATTAAAAAAAAAAAAATAAAACAAAAGAAGGAGACAAAAAAGTGAAATTGGCTAAAAAAATAAACCCTTTTCAACATACCGGACACCACAGAAGGCTTGAAAAGTCACCCAAAAATTTCAATGTTGATATAATTAAATGAAAGAAAGCCAAAATGGATTTTGTTTTATTTTTTTTTGTCTTTGTTTTCTCAGTCTGGATGTACCGTTCCGTTCCTTTATTTCTTTTATGCTTTTGAGTTGTTTTATATAAGTAGTAGAGAAGATGTTTCAAATTAGGTTTTTCGCTAAGATAAAAAACTAAACATTGACGATTTTGTTGAACAGAATCCGTGCAGAGTTTGAATATTTTTTTTTAGTTGGCTAATTTGAGGAGTAAGGGGTCCAAGAGTTCCAATCGAGGTGTACAGAGTCAAAAGTGGTATTGGAAGCGTCAGTAGTCGAAGGGTTGAACAGTTGGAATCTCGGAGTCGGAGGCTGGGAGTCGAACACAAAGGGTGGAACCTAAAAGTTGGAGATGAAGTTTCGGAACCTAGGAGTCGAAGACTAAGAATTGGAGCCTAGGAGTCGAATACGAAGTATTAGAGTCCTGGAGTTAGTTTCGAGAAATCGCAATTTACAATTCCCAGCCGAGCAGCATAATTCTGTTTCAAAAATCTATATTCGAAGAGGTAAACTCAAGTAATCAAAACTAAAGTATATTGTATCAAGGAACTTTCTGACCGAAATTGCTCGTCGCGTTAATAAAGAAATGATAATGTTCAATTTCAGAGTCCCTTACACTATATAAGTATCTCAAAGTTGACAAAACATAGTTTCAACATTTTCTCATTTTATTCACAGTTAGTGATGTTTTTGTTTTTCTCCTGTCTCTTTGATTTTTTTTTTTTTCATTTCCGTTTCATTTTATATCAAATTTCTTTTTTTCTTATTTTTCTATTTTTTTTTGTATATTCTGTTGTCAATTTCTCCCGCCATTTCCCACCATTTTAATACCCGGAAAAGTTCAAAGTGCCTAAAGGGTTGTCATTTTTCTTATTTTTTTTACTATTCGGTCTACTCAACATACACAAATCCATATTGTGTAGATGGTGTGGCGTTTATTTTTACATTTTTTTTTTTTTTTATTTTGTAAGGTAACACATGTTAAAGTGACAGTAAATTGTCTGAATTTATAATATGAGATAGCAATATTATAGTGTTTAATGTAGATATTAGTATATAAATAATATGGTTTATGTAAATCTCATATATATATTATATAATAATGTAGTTATATAAGGTTATTACATAACTATGTAAGTATATACATAATTATATTGCATTATAACATGCATAATATGAAAATATGTGAGAATTGCAATTTTATATGTAAAAATAATTCATGTAAAGCGAAATCGGTACTGTTATACACATGTGATGTATGTGTGCCTGTGTTTTCTCGTTAAATGTAACATAAATATGGATATGTAGGTGTATATGCATATAAAATGATATTGTGATATACAATCAAATGCGAATATAAAATAGTTAAAACCACAAAATAATAAATTTTTTTGTTCTTATTATTTTTTTTTTCTTGTTATTATTATTGTTATCGCATGCATCCTTTTTTTTCCAATTTTTAAAACTTTTAAATTTTTTTTTTCAATATACACATACATGGTGTATGTAGATGTATGGTATATTTTTTTTTTGTATATTGTTGTTATAGCCTGCGGTCTGAAAAATTAAAAGGATATTGATATGGTAACTGATTGAATTCGAATATAATCCGCAATACTCAGACTTAAAGCTAATATTATTATATATGTATATACAAACAAATGTTTGTATTCACCTACAATATTGAATGAATATTTGCCATACACACACACACAATACATACATAATCTGTATTACCAAAATATGGTATTTGTTATATAGCCCGAAGGTGTATGTTTTTAGATTATCCTTAAGTTTTGAAAATTCGGAAAATATCAAAAAAAAAGTTTTTTGGCGATAAAACCAACTATGCACAACCTAAAAGTTTAAAATCGAATTCAAATTTTATTTATATATATGTATATGTATAAATTTTTGGTATTTCTGTTGGTAAAGCGAAGAGGTAAGATTTTTTTTTTCGAATTTTTTTTATTTTTTATATTGTTCTTTTTAATAAAAGTTTTAATTAAAAAAAAATATTTGTTGTGTTAAAGTAAAATTTATTTTTTTGGTTAAAGATAATGGTGAATTTAATTAAAAAAATAAAAAATTCGATACATTTCGATCGAATCTGACAAATAGATAAGCAAAATTTTAGAAAGTACAAAATTGTGTTGGTTTTTGAAAAATTTTAAATTTACACTAAAAATTATTTTAAATTTTGTGATGAAATATTGAAATTGCACTTATTTTGCTGCCCTCTATGCTTATCAGGTTTGCAAACCAAAAAAAACCAGCATGTTATTTTATCCACTGCCCTACTAGGTTAGTCTTCTTTCTACTGCTTTTTCATATTCGTGGTAGGTTCTTCTTTTTAACGGAAGGGGATGGTCATATCACAACACCTCCTTGGCATATTCTCTTCACTATTACAAACTGCATTTTAGCAGCTGTTATAGTTTGCAATTTAGTGAACTTAACAAATATTTTTATAGTACACCTAAAGTTTTACACCTTAAAGTTTTACTTATTAACTGAGTATACTTATATAAAAAAAAATTAAATTCAATTTTGCAATGAGCCAGCGGCGGATCTGTCATAGATCTATCTTGAATTCAAAGTAAGCATATGCAATAAGCGCCGGAAAGCAGACGCCCTTTTAAAACTAAGAAAAAATAAAAATTTTTTTAAAATATTTCAAAACGAGGTTTTCAAAATGCGCACCTTTTGAAAATTGAGTAGGACCACAGGAAAGTCAGAGTCGATCCTCAGCATATAAAGCTGTTGGTCTAATTGCAATTGTGCAAACTATAATATAATTTAAACACAACAAAAACAAATACACAAAATATTTTATAAAAACTATAAATTAAATAAATTTTAATAAAACAAATATTAAAGTTAATTTAATTAATGAC